CACCATCAGCGGGACCCGTACGATGACGCTGCGGCGTATAATCTCGACACGTCAATCACTACGCCGCATTGTCACGAACGCCCTTGACGCACAGGTCAAATGTAAATTTCAATGAAGACCAGGCGTTTTGTCATATCAAATTCTCTGGTGGGATTGTCGATGAAGCAGAGTTCTATTTGCTGTAACAATCGACTACAGTACTTATTTTTCGTTTGTAAATAGGTGCACAAAATTACGAGTAATTATGCTAATATTGCCCATTGCACGAGGGATAAAAGCAATTGTTATGTTTACTATCGCCTCAGGAGAGAGCTGGTCTGAACTAAAAGTGGCGTGATCGGAAGAAGTTTGGTGTAGGGGAAACAAGCGTGTACGCACAACTTACTAAATTACAACTACTACTATTACTGTCAATACTACTACATCTGCAACTTCTACTTTTACTATTCCTTCTACTATTTGTGTTACTTATACTTACACTATTTACATTACTACGGACACTACTACTACTACTGCAGACATTATTTCTAGCAATGGCACAACTATTACTACCCTTTGCATTGCGCTGCTATTGCCATTACTGATATTACCACTACTGCTACTTCTACTATTATTGACCATACTAGAACTACCGCTTTTGCTGCTGCCATTAATACTACTCTTACAACCACTCGTATTTCTAATATTTTTACCCTTTCTGTTACTACGGGCACTTCTACTACTACTACTACTGTTGCTGCTGCTATTTCTGTTATTGCTACTAGTTCTAAACTGGCCTACACATGGAGTCACATATCATTGAGGTTAATAGTAGTTGCAAAAACGAAAATGGTGTTCCCTTCAGTTTGATTGTGGTCACCTTTGGCTGCATGCAATTTATTTTGCCTCCTCTTCACTATTTGGCCGGGGGACGGCATCTTGTCCAGCGTCACGCCAACCCCCAACGCCACGCCGTGGGCGTGATTTCTTTGCTGATGGAACCGTTGACAAGCCAGTCAGAGCCCCTAGCGAGAAGCGTCAGTACCGGCTCGCTCCCTCGCCACCGCCTCCGGAGTAGGTCAAAGGCCATAATTTCGTGGCGACTGTCATGTTGAAGTACCTTTCATGAAGTTGAAGAAGCGAGTGCAAGGGATTTATAAGTTGGCCTCACCGGAAGCCTCATATACGGCAAGATTTCTGAGAAGGATGCAGCTGTTCGGTCACAATTGCACCCGTTTCACACTTCATCCGTGGCCACTACACTTTGTAACAGCATGTAGGAAAAGGTTATGATGTCCAAACAAATCGTAGACTTTATATACAAAGGATCTAGTGGTGGTCTCGAAAAGACTACTTATAAACTAAGAGTAAGTAATGTCATCGACTGTCATAGCAAATATAGGTTTGCTTCATCGACAAGCCCCCCACACCTGCCTTGTGACCCAAGGTCGCTCATACCAATGTGGCGGAGTGATTAACGTGTCGATATCATACGCTGAACTGTCATGGCCCGAGTCCCGCTGGAGGTGTTGATGAGACCTAGGCGAGGACGAAACTGCAGCCCACCCTGGATGAGAATACCCTCTTGGAAAGCAAGGCTGTGTGAAGTTCAATGGATACGTAATGGCCTACTCATGTGATTGTGGGAAAATTCATTTATCAGCCCTTCATCATCTTAAACGAAATAGGGGCAATACACTTCATATATAAATCGTGGGATGTCCCATTGGGTTGACCTGACTCGGCCATAAAAAGTGGGTTAAATTGTAGCCGACGACCTTTCTTGTCCCCGTACTGTGGTGAATTATCGAAAAACATTGTATCTTGCTTTAAAGATATCCGTCACATGACGGAGGAAAGTTCAGCAAGGATTCATCGACGTCGCCGGACGATGAACTGGCAAGTTATTTGCACAAATCGGCAGCTACAATTACAGAGCGATCCCCCTTTGACTTGCGCTGTGAAAAGTATTTCGGCACCAATCGATTAAGGTATTACTCGAAAACCAGTTTAGTTTACGTAACTATGGGAATTGGCAGTTTGTAGGGAAAGTGCCTGACGAAGCGATTTGTGGATTGATCTCATCAAGACGACGACATCTGCTTCCACTTGTTGGGCAGCCGTCGGTCGATATCACTCAACTAATTTCTTTGTATGAAATGAAAGTTTCAATAGATTTATCGAAATCCACCTACCGAGTAAACAAGTTGGAAGTTGTGCTTACCTTGGAGGGATGTACAAAGGTGTGGGGCATACGTGTGTATTGGGATGGAGAGAAGAGTGGTACCATAACTGTTCAGTAGAAAACGTGGTCAACTTGTGGCCTGGTGTCAAGAGGAACAAGGCCTCCTGACTCTGCTGACGGTGAGATCGACCCTCGAATCTCTTCTTCATGAACTTTCATACAAAAGGAAGGTTGTCTAGGGTGACTCATAGAAGCAAACTTTAGCTTTGCCCATTAGAAGTTGTCATACTTACCGGGCGCATATCACGGCCATCGCTACAACACAAACAGGCTGCTAAGATGAACTCTAGGCAAGTTCGTAACTGTAATCAAGCCCAGCCCAGTCCAGTCCAGTCTGGATGAGAAT